CCCCAGCTGAGCGGCGGGGCTCCCGCTGAGCTGGGGGGAAATGCCCCTTCCGAAGGGGAATGCAAGAGGTGGCTTCGGAAGGTTCCTTCTGAGGCCACCGCCGGCATTTTCCCCCAGCTTTGAAGCCCCGACGCTCAGCGTCAACATCGTAATGCGATCACAAAAGAGAGGCAAATGTCGGCGGTGGCTTCGGGGTCGACATTTTCCCCCAGCTGAGTGGCGCTCGTTAAGCGAGGCACCACTGTATATGTTTGCTTACACACACACACACACCCTGTGAATAAATCCACTGAATTTGGTGGGTTTACTTCTGAGTGGACATTGAAGTACAAGTAGGATTTTAGTTTAATTATTACTTGATTTGATATACAAATTGAAATAGAGAGGTTACTTACCTGTAACTTTGGTTCTTCGAGTGGTCCTCTGTGAATTCACACTAATGGGTTAAGTATGCACATGCGCAGAGGCCTCGGAATATTCTGGAGCTAAAAAACTGCCAGGACCGCTCCCATGGAGTCCACGTGGCCCACCCATCCTAGTGGTTACCTCAGTTCCCAATTTCCACTGCTGCTCAAAATGAGAGACAGGCGTGACGGACAGAGGGGAGGACGGATGGGAAGTGTGAATTCACAGAGGACCACTTGATGAACCACAGTTACAATTAAGTAACTTCTCTTTCTTCTTCGTGGCCTCTGTGAATGCACACTAATGATTACCTGTAAATGGTGGAGGGACGTCACGGCAACTCAAAAGATAAAACTGCACATCCAAAACGGGCATCCCCCTTGGCACGGACATCTAGCCGGTAGTAGGATGCAAATGCAGAAGGTGTGGACCAGGTGGCTGCCCATCTGTAAGGAGGTTCTCCTCTGTCAGAAGGTGTGGACCAGGTGGCTGCCCATCAGATGTCTTGAAGTGGAACACCTCTCAGGAATGCCATTGAGGTAGCAACTGCTCTAGTAGAGTGAGCCTTAATGGAGCCCGGAAGGGGCTTGTGGGCCAAATTATAGGCAAGGCAAATAGTCTGAACGAGCCACCTGGAATAGTCTGAGGGGAGACTTGTTGTTCCCTGCGAGGCGAGTGAGGTGAGATGAAGAGATGTTTGGACTGTCTGAACATCTAACAAGTGTAAGGATTTCTCAACAGGAGTAGACGGATGAGGAAAAAAGGTAGGCAAGATAATGGGCTGGCGAATGTGGAAACCGGAGCAAACCTTGGGAAGGAATGAGACATCTGGATAAAGGGGTAGGCAGTATCCGAGGAGGGTGCAGACGTGCCACACCACGAAGAAACCGCTTAACTGTGGGTTGCCGGAAAAGAAGGGCAGCATCCGGTCAGGAGGCTGGTGTGCCACTATTGTAGAA